GCCCTTGTTTCTTTCAGGTTCTGCCTCACTATGGCAGCCCTGGCAGCCCATTTCTCTACATGCGCGCCTCTCCTCAGTGCAAGTATTGTGGGCATAAAAAGGGCATGATGTCACTGAGCTTGGGAGTCTCCAGGGCTCCCTCCCCTATCCACATGAACTCATGCCTAGGCTCCTCCCCTACCCACAGCATTCATGCCTAGGCTCCTCCCCTACCCACAGCATTCATGCCTAGGCTCCTCCCCTACCCACCTTAACTCATGCCCAGGCTCCTCCCCTACCCACAGAACTCATGCCCAGGCTCCTCCCCTACCCACAGAACTCATGCCTAGGCTCCTCCCCTATCCACATGAACTTGTGTTGGGTGGGGGCTGAAGCTTTGTCTAGAGTCCTCCGTGGAAGAACAGCACTGATCTTAGGAATTCCTCAGTGGTGATTAGAAGAGCACACATACTTTATAAGCTCTCTGAAAGCAACATGGGCATCCTATATGAGACTGTCTCCCTAGCCTCAAACCACCAGTTCCTAGGGTTTGACACACAGCAAGTTATTTTTAATATATTAAATCTGCACTACCAGGTGCTCGCTGCCCTGGTGATAGTCTCAGTGATAACTCAGAGCTATTCCCTGTCAAAGGTCACTTTGCAGTTTCATGTGCCTGCTCCTCTGATTCTTTGGAATTGTCACCCTGGATTTTGCAAAGCTGGTGACTGAACCATACTGTGGGGTGAGCCAGCCACCCCTGCCCCAGTTCCCGGGCAAGCCTGAGCTGAGCTCACTGGTTTGGTTTGGTTTTTGAGACATGGTTTCACTGTGTAGCTTTGGCTGGCCCGAAAGTCACAGATATCTGCCTGCCTCTAACCCCTGCCACAAATAACAAGAGTAAAGGCATGTGCCACCACACCTGGCTGTGTATACTTTTAAGGAATAGCCCAATTCACATTTTACACCACTAAATTTTATAGAAAAGGTAATCTTAGAATCATTATAAACCAGTTTCAGAGACAGAAGAGATGGCAATAACCCTCAGAGACTCTATCGTGGTCCTGGATCCTCTTGGTACTGGGATCTCTGCTTACTTGTTCTAAATCACTGTCTGTGTCTGCATAGTGTGGAGACAGAGGCCCCCAAATCTACGCAAGGGTGTTATACCTGGTATTGAAGACAAGAAATGACATCAGAGAGGCAGAAGCTCAGAATCTGTACCATACACAGGACCATCGCTATCCCTCACCTTTCCACACTTACCTGTGACTAAGGGTCCACGAAGAGCCTGCTTAGTGTGTGTGTGTGTGTGTGTGTGTGTACATGTGTGTGCATGCACATTACACACATGTTTATGCATGCTCACATGAAAGACAAAGGTCTACATGAGGTGTCTCCGTTATCCTCAACATTACTGTTTGAGACAAGGTCTCTCACTGAGCCTGGAGCTCACTGATTTAGCTAGGCTGGCTGGCTGACAGCCCCAGGAATCTACATGTCTCTGCCCTCCAGCTCGGCATCACAAGTACAGGTCACTGCATGCACCACTACTCCAATCTCCGAAGGATCAAACTCAGTTCCTCACGCTTGCATAGCAAGCACTTTACCATCTGTTTTATGCTTTGTTAATGCCCTATTTCCCAAATACTACCATCACCAAAGGGGCAAAGATGGAGGAAACTAAGTCACATGACCTGTGCCCATCTGTAGGCCCCAGTGCTGTCCTCTGAAGGTGCTGGCTTGGTTGTTTTCTGAATGAAACCAATGTCTGCTGTGACTACTCCATCTTTGGAACCATCAGGGACTGTGAAGGGGCTTGTGGTCTCCCTCAGGCAGTCCTCTGGCTCTAAAGCAGATATATTTCTCTCAGGTTGAAAGCCAAGGACATAGGCCCTCTTCATGAGCCAAGTTCCAGAGAGAAGATGGGTCAACCTGTCTTTCCTCTGGTACAAAGTTGAGGATACTGGGGAGAAACTGAGGCTTCCAGTAGTCCCAATGTCCCCTATCCCATCACCCACATTTGAGGGCACTTAATGGAGGAGAAGGAGACATTATGTATACTACCCAAAGGAATGAGTTGCCCAGTGACACCTGCCTGTTCCCCACAGGCATGCAGCCTATCTCAGGGCAGTGTACCTGGGCTCAGCCTTCTCTGCCCTGATATCCAGAATGTCTGTCTGCACATCCGCTGTCCACCCTGAGTGGAGCCCTGTATTTATTTGGTGGCAGCTGACTCCCCAGTATGCTATGCAAGAGTCACCTCCGCAACCCAGAAGGGCCAACCATCCATGGTCCCCAGACTCTCCAGGCTGCCTGTACCTCACCCTGAAGGCTTTTAACTCACAGGCAGCGAGGAGCTGGGAAAGCAGCTGACCATGAAATGCACTTGAATTCAGTCAATTCTTCTTGGAGGGTTTTCAATGACAACTGAGATTGGTCCTTAAAGAACGAAACAGAAATGTTCCTTTGTCCGGAGGGAGACCCAGGGAGACGTGTCGCATAGCGTGAGTCGTTTTTGAGTCAGTAATTCAAGAGAATCTACAGCTACTGATCTCATAAATATAAGAGGGTTGCATTATGCTTTAAAATAGCCGCGGACGCTGTGAGAGAAAAGAGCAGAGTTGAGTCTGACATCACCACTGGTCTTCAGACACCCCAGGTAGCTTGGCTCAAAAGAAAAGTGATTTAAATATAGAAGCTTAGGGGAAAAGCAGCTTGTTGCCAGGAACAGTCACTGCTGCTAGGCCAGACCCCATCTCCAGGCATCCTGGTCCTCTGCCTGGGGAGAGGCATGGGGAAAGACAGGATTAAGTAGCGGTGAAATGTTGTAGCCAGGTAAAAAGGAAGCCTTCATCCTGTTCAGAGCCATGGCAGTGGCAGCCCTGGGGCACATATCTAAAAGAAACTGGGCACTAGTCTTTGGGGAATAAGCCTGGAAGTGAAGCTGAGAATCCACACTCAATGCCACTGAAAAAAAAGCAAGCAGTGATGTTTTTTTTATACTAAGGGAGACAGAAACACAAGAAAAAGACACCAAGACAGGGCCTCACGTAAATAAAAAGCAACCTAATTTAATTCTCTTAAGAAATAGAAAATAGGGGCTGGAGGGATGGCTCAGAGATTAAGAGCACTGTCTGCTCTTCCTGAGGTCCTGAGTTCAATTCCCAGCAACTACATGGTGGTTCATAATCATCCAATCATCCGTAATGAGATTTGGTGCCCTCTTCTGGCATGTAGACATACATGCAGGCAAAACACTGTGTAATAGTTATAATAATAAATAAATCTTTAAAAAAAAGAAATAGAAAATAGCCAGGCGGTGGTGGCGCACGCCTTTAATCCCAGCACTCAGGAGGCAGAAGCAAGTGGATCTCTGTGAGTTCAAGGCCATCCTGGTCTACAGAGCGAGTTCCAGGACAGCTAGAGCTGTTACACAGAGAAACCCTGTCTCAAAAGACAAACAAGCAAAAAGCAGACAATAGGGAGAAGGGTGTAGTGCTGCTGGGAGAGAAGGCACAGGCCTGGCTCCACCCCCAGCACCCCATAAACCAGAATGGCAGCAAGGACTTGTAGCCCCAGCACCGGGGAGGGAGAGGTAGACAAATCAGCCGCTCAAGACATCATTTGCTATATTTGGACATACAGAAAATGCAAGGTTAGCCTGAGCTATGTAAGACCTGTCTCAAAAGCAAACAAACATGAAATAATATAAAGTAATCCATTCTTATACTGCCTAACTCAGTAAAGCATGGATAAAAATATTGACTGTACTCAGTAAGGACTGAAACTATACTTTGGCATTATATCAAGCTGTGAAAGAGACTAATGGAGAAAGCTAAAGAAGAAATCTGGAAGTGGAATTATATATAGAAAGATGCTCATGGCTGTATTTACACTTCCTGCTGACCATAACTTCTAGGTCTCAAGTCTAAGTGTCCACATGACTTCCATGACAATGCTTAGTGGCCAAGAAGCCAATGAGAACATGACCGGGGATGCTTTGTCTGACGTCCACATGACTCAGGTCCTGAGGGTCTGAAGAAGTGACATGCAGAAGAACCCTTTGCAGGGCAGAGCTGGGGTTGCCAACCTGGTTGAGCATCAGGATCTTCTGGAAAGCTCTCTCTCTCTCTTTCTCCTTCCCTCCCCCACCTCTCTCCCTCCCTCCCTGACTCCCCCCACCCTGTGTGTGTACATGTGTGGGATTCACACACACACCTGTATGTCTGTGCACCCTGTATGTCTGTGCACGTGGATGCCAGAAGTTAACATCTGATATCTTCCTCGATTGCGCTCCACCTTGCTTTTTGAGGCACGGAGCTCACAGATTGGCTAGACTGTTTGTCAATGAGTTATAGGGATCCGCCCTGCCCCATCACTGACTACAGACACACATCCCTGTACCCAGCTTTTTACATGGTTGCTGGAGATCCTCATGCTTGTGTGGCAAGCACCTAACAGCTGAACCATCTCGTAGTCCCTGGAAGTCTTTTGAAAAATGCTGCTCCCCGGGCCCCACTGAGAATGAAGGCTAGGGGTCTGCTTGTGGTCTAATCCACGGTCAGCGAGCATCACCACTGTCAACATTTGGCACTAGATAACTCCATGCTGTAGCAGGCTGTCTTGTGAGCTGTGGGGTTTTAGTACAATCCCTGGCCTCTAGGCATTGCCCGGGGGCCCCCAGGTGAGGGATCGACATGCTAAGATTGGTTATTTGCTAAGCATGTATGGCCCTTACTTCAGGAACAATATGAGCATGGGTCTCAGTTACCCCAACTGCCTAATGGGTTCAGGGCTTGTGTGCTATCTGCCTCAAGAATCCATCATCCTTTACTTCCTGATGCTGTCCCAATGTCCTTTGCCGTCCTTTGTCTGCTGAAATGGCATGCCAAAGGTCAGGGAAATGTTTGGCCCAGATTCAGAGTGTGGGGGAAGATAGGCAGCCATCGGTCCCTGCACGCCCCGTGGGGAGACACCTGCCCTTTCTTCCAGCTCACACACTGTCTCCTCCTTTACAGAAAAGAACTGCTCCTACTTCAGGCATTTCAATCCAGGAGAGAGCTCAGAGATCTTCGAATTCACCACTCAGAAGGGTGAGGCCCTGGAAGGCAGGGGCGGCGGAAAACAACTTGTGTCACAGCTGCTGAGCTGGTAGTCATTAGACAGAAATGTGTTGTCCCCTGCTCAGGATGAAAGGCTGGTGTCCTGTCACATCCCTGCACATGCAAGCAGTTCTGGGTCCAGGTACTCAGAGGACACTTGTCGGTGTAAGGGACAGTGAATTCCATAGACTTGCTGGCAGGCTGTGAGTTGCAGCAGGAACATATTCAATCCAGCAGAGCCAGAGGGAAAGTGCTGGAGCAGGGTCATCGGGTGGATGGGTGAAAGGCTCTGTGGGGACAGTGGTAGTCCTGCCCACACTTACTAACAGCCCCCTGAGCTGAGGAAACATGGTATTCCTGCCCTTCGTCAACAGAACTCAGAGACCTCATCAGCAGGAAGAGCCTGGGCTCTGTGGAAGCAGGTGGTTACACAGTGTACAAGAGCTGACAAAGACACACTCAGGCACATGCTAGCAGACCCTGTCAGGTAGTCATCTGTACACACCAACAGATTCTCAAGCACAGGGCACACATACACACTGAGAATCTTAGTACAGGGAACACTCATGCATGCATGCACACACATATACCAACAGGGCTGCCTGCATGGAGCACACATACACACTGAGAATCTTAATACAGGGAACACTCATGCATGCATACACATATACCAACAGGGCTTCATGCATGGGGCACACATATACACTGAGAACCTTGGTGCAGGGAACAATCACACATGCATGCACATACCAACAGACCTTTATGCATGAAGAATGCATACACACTGAAAGCCAAATGAAAGGAACATGCACACTTGTGTGCACACACAGACAGATCCTCATATGTGAGGTGTATATAGGTGCTGACAGCCTCATGAGCAAGGCACACGCATGTGCATCCACATATGCTGGTAGATATTCTCTCCCTCCCTCTCCCTCTCTCTCTCTCTCTCTCTCTCTCTCTCTCTCTCTCTCTCTCTCTCTCTCTCTCTCTCTCTCTCACACACACACACACACACACACACACAATTCTCCCATGCACATACTCCACGGGCACATACTCTGATGGAGTCTTAGGCAACCCACACACGTCCTCACACTCACAAGCTAGGTAACACCCACACGCTGTCAATCTCCCAGAATCCCCTTGTCAATCTAAGATAGACCACCTACAGCTCAGTGCCTCCTTCGCCTGTCACTCAGAAAGGCTTTGGCTCTAGGAAAGGCTCTAGCCACAGGGTGTCCTGCCTCCTTCTGAGGCCTTTGCCTCGGGGAACCTTGCAGTTTAGCATGCTGGAAATACACAGGTGAATCCATCCTATCAGCATCTGGCCTCACTCTTCCGCAGCAGCACCCGACCTGGAAAGAGTAAGAAAGCGAGCCAGCCTTAGTCAGGTGTGAAATGGGAATCTAGGCTGTGGAAGCTCACTAAGCAACCTGATGGTGTGAAACGCCTGGAAGGCTCTGGTTCTGAGGCTGCCTCTGTTTTTCAGAGTATAGCATCTCAGCAGCCGCCATCGCCATCTTCAGCCTCGGCTTCATCATTGTGGGCTCCATCTGTGCGTTTCTGTCCTTTGGGAATAAGCGTGATTATCTGCTGAGGCCAGCATCCATGTTCTATGCCTTTGCAGGTAGAGTGGGGTCCTGCAGTGTGTGGGTGGGAGGGGACTCCCTAGGGCTCCCCACTCCCTAGGGCTGCCCACTTCCTAGGGCTGCCCACTCCCTAGGGCTCCCCACTCCCTAGGGCTGCCCTCTCCCTAGGGCTGCCCTCTCCCTAGGGCTGCCCACTTCCTAGGGCTCCCCACTTCCTAGGGCTCCCTACTCCCTAGGGCTCCCCATTCTATACTCAAGCTCCACACAGGAACAAACTCAGAACCCTGGTGACTCCAGGAAGGCTAAGAGGGAGAAAGCTTGCTTTGCCCCCCCCCCCCGTGTACCTTTAGGAGGAATGTTGAGGGACTGCCCCAGAGAGCAATTAACAAAAGAAGGAAGGAAATGCAGCTAGTCTCTGGCCAACCTCCTGCAAGATGTGGGAACTGCACGGTGGGCACGGATCATTTCTGCAGAGTCCCAGTTAGAGACCAGCGCAAAGGCAGGGAACAGAGGTTGGGGGAGGATTGGGGTGGCAGCAGGAGCACCATCAGTCACTGAGACTCTTGGATTTGTCCCAGGGCTCTGCCTTATTGTCGCGGTGGAGGTCATGAGGCAATCGGTGAAGCGCATGATCGACAGTGAGGACACCGTCTGGATCGAGTACTACTACTCATGGTCCTTCGCATGTGCCTGTGCTGCCTTCATCCTGCTCTTCCTCGGGGGGCTGTTCCTCCTGCTCTTCTCCCTGCCTCGGATGCCCCAGAACCCCTGGGAGTCCTGCATGGATGCCGAGCAGGAGCACTAGCTTTGGGAAGATCAAGCCCAGACCAGAGTCTCTTGGAGGTGAGGAGGGAGTTTCCCCATGTACCCTGATCCCTTGTCTATCATGCTCGGTGCCTCTCCCTCTGAGTTCCTCTACAGACGGTACTACACATGAACATGAACTCAAACCTGCCCAGGGGCAGAGGAAGCAGTATCTGAAGGGCCCTCTCTGAGGCATGACCTGGCTCAGGCTCGCCCACCATGCCTGTTGTCTTTGAAGAACTGGTCTGGTCATCTTTAGAAACCTTCCAAAGACAGTCTGTACTCATTCACCAGTTCTGAGCTTCGCCAGCACCCAGAGCCGGCTTCTCCCCCACTCTCCTCCACCACGATATGAAACCCTTTTCCGTGATCTGAACATCCCTCCTTGGTTTCCAGGATCCCCAACAGACATTTTTAACTGGATAGAATCTGTGGTTTGAAATAAAGGATCTCAGAAATGTCCCTTTTCCCTTTGTGCCTTGCATAGCAATTGCTAAGATTCCTGGCCATAGGCCTGGCACCCAAAACCCTGAAGAAGAAAAGGAAGGAGTGTCCCTCTGCCGCAGTGGTTCTCACCCTGTGTGGTCACGACCCCTTTGGGGGGGGTCACATAACAGATATCCTACGTATCAGATGTGTACACAATGATACACAACAGTAGCACAATTACAGTTATGAAGTAGCAACAAAAATAATCTTATAGTTGGGGGTCACCACAACATGAGGGACTGTATTAAAGGGTCACAGTATTAGGAAAGTAGAGGACCATTGCCTGGGGCACTGAGGACTTTCAAAGGTGAGGTGGGGATAGCTTAGAGGTTCTGAATTCCAGCTTGAATGTCTGAGCTCTGGAATTGTTTGGAATGAAACAAGAAACCTTATGACTTGGGCAAGGGTGTTAAAAATAGGAGGAGTTATTTCTAGAATCGTCCAGCCCCTCTCAGAACTGAAGCCCCACAGCCTCAGTCTAGCCTCTGAGGCCAAATCCTTGCTGGAAAAAAAAACAACAACAAACAAACCAAAAAACCCAAGAAGCAAGGCTTCACAGACACTTAGCACACATGCAAACATAGCACCATCATTTAAACACTGCTGCCCCCTCAGTCCCCTTACTATGCTGAACCTGACCTCCAGAAACAGAAGTCAGGCTTGGCTGATAGACAGGGAGGACTCTTTGTGGTCCTTGCAGTGAACACTGGAGATCCACATAGAGCTATCACACACAGTTGGCAAGGGAACACCCCACCTGTGGGAAAGACCTGGTCTAGTGCTTCTTGTGTAGCCTGAAACAAGAGGTTGGTTTTTACAGTTCAAAAGACACCACAATAACTTGTCATGAATATGAAGACTATCTCACGGCATGAAAATTCTATGCAATTTAAATCTCAGTGTCTCTAAATAAAGTTTTATTGGCACACAGCCACACCTATTCCCATGGATGTTCAGTGTAGTTGCTTCCCTCACAACAGCATTGAGTAGCCTCAAGAGAAAGGCTTTGCCCCCACAATGTGAAATAATATTTACTTTCATACTGGACATGGTGACACATATCAGTAATCCCAGCACTCAGGAGGCTGAGGCAGGAGGATCACTCTCCAAGTTATTCCCTTGGCATGGGGTGTATTAGTTACTTTTTGCTGCTGTAGCAAAACACCATGACCACCAGTGATTCTTTAGAGAAGAAAGAGTTTGTTTTGGCTTACGATTCCAGAGAGAGTCCGTAATGGCAGGGGAGGCATGGCAGCAGTCAAGCACGGCAGCCAGAGCAAGAAGCTGATGATCACCTTTTCAACCACAGGCACAAGGCAGAGACAGCAAACGGAAGTGTTGTGGGATAACCTTTTTAGTACACTATGAAGATGTGTCTCTTCTAAGGCGCCTTCTAATTGGTTTAATAGATAGCTGAATGACCAATAGCTAGGCAGGAGAAGATAGGCAGGACTTCCGGGGAGAGAGAGGAAGTAGGTGGAGGAGCCTGAGAGGAGGGGAATCCACCAGCCAGACAGACACACAGGAAGCAGGGCGGCACGGTACTGAGCAGAGGTCATGTGGCAGGGCACAGATCAACATAAATGGGGTTAATTTAAGATTTAAGAGTCGGGAGCAAGCACACAAGCTGAGGCTGAGCTTTTATAATTAATGATAAGTCTGTGTCATTATTTGGGAGCTGGCAGTCCACCCTCAGAGTCCATCCCCAGGGATATATTTTCCCAAAGGTTCCACAACTTCCCCCAAATAGTGCCATCAAATGGAGACCAAGTGTTCAAACACATGAACCCGTGGGGGACAGTCCTCATTCAAACCACCACACACTGGGGTTTTCAATGACCCCTGGGCTAAGCAGATAGCCAGCAAGCCTCAGAGGGCCTCGGGTCTCCGCACTCAACAGTACTGGGTTATAGGTGCATGTAGCCATACCCATCTGGGCATGGATGCTTGGATCTGGACTCAGGTCCTCACACTCGATTAGGAACAGGGAGATAGTCACCAGCAAGACTCCATGTAGCTGCCAAGGAAGAAAGAGATCCAGGCATCACCGGTAAGCCAAGACCACGTGGAGATACACAGATTAATAGAAATGGATTAATAATTAAGAAAGAGCTAGCCAATGAGAAGCCTGAGCCATCAGCCAAACGGTTTGTAATTAATATAAGCCTCTGCGTGTTATTTGGGACTGACTGGCTGTGAGTCCAGGTGGGACAGAAACTTCTGTCTACACACAGACATATACCACAGGTTCCAGGGGCAGGATCATGTCAACTATGTCTACCACCATGATGGTTGCTATTGCATGCTATGTGTTGGGTACTGTGTGAGCGAGGGCACAGTGAGGGAGAGACAAGTTATTTCCTTGTCTTTCAATGCTGAGTGGTTTTAAGTAAGGTCTATGTTCTCTGAAGTTTGAGAGCCTTCTGTAAACACTCAGAGGGTAATGGGGATGGCACCCGTGGAGCCTACAGAAGTCCTATTCACTCTTCAGGAGCCCGATCAGACCTCATGAGGTGACATATCCTCCAATCCTTCAGGTGACATTCATGCCTCTCTCCTTTTGTTCTTGACACTCTGTTTATATTCCTCATATTTAACCCATCTTGGCACAGCTTAGCCTTCCTGATTTTATAGCTCATTAAAGGTAAGTCCCATATTTTCTTCAGAGCCATTGTAGTAGCTAGAACCTTCCTTACACCAATCATTTCCCCAAACCTTGCAGTGTCCAGTTTGCAAAGCCTCGGTACAAACTGTGAGCCCAGTCCATGAACTACAATACACTGTCCATAGGGAGACTAGGAAAGGCACAACTCGTTCAATAATGCCATGAGGAGGAGTAGCAATGCAGAAAGTCCTCTGAAGCAAGACAAGAGTGTGGAAGGGCTCCTGCAGAAGGAGAAACCACTGGACCAGTTTATCTCGGCCCACTGGGTCTCCACAGTCGCTTATGAAAAACCACTCTGAGGCTTAATATCTGTTGCAATCATTTGGCCAATGGCTTAGGCTTCTTAATAACTGTCTCTTAATTATTAACCCATTTCTATTAATCTGTATCACCATGTGTCATTGGCTTACTGGTGATGCCCTGGTATCTTGACTCCCCAGGAGCTACATGGTGTCTTCTTGACCTCTCTCTATCCCTGTTTGGATCCCCCCTCCCCGCTTTACTCTGTTATGCTATTGGCCAAAACAGCTTTATTCATCAACCAATAAGAGAAATACATAGCCGCAGCATACAGAAGGACATCCCCCATCAGGCTCCTTCTTGTCCCAGGTCTCCAGCCCCTGCTGTCTCTGTCATCACAGTGGATTCTACACACACACACACACACACACACACACACACACACACACACACACACACACGAATCAGAGGGATAAGACTGAGCCAGCTGCACTCTCCACAGTGGAACTCGAGCTCAATAGATACAGCATGGAATTATTTTCCAAGTGAGAGCGCACCAGCCGAAGCCTTCAGTACAGACGGATTCCCCAAGAGCTTTGACAGAGGTACGAAGCCACCTTTAGTTATAGTAGATCACAATCCTCTTTTTTTTTTTTCAAACATTTGATCCTCCATCCTGTTAGTGAGCCAACCCAATAGGAATCATTGTGGTGCTAGATTGCATGTAGGTTCACCTTGCATTGGTCAGCTTTCCATTACTGTAACGAGTATCTTGGACAAGTCAACTTATAAAGAGGAAAGTATTTTGACTCACAGTTCTGGAGGCTTCACTTGACGGATTAACCCCTTCACTTTAGACTTGTGGTGGAATAACACATCGGGTCAGATTCACTCACCTTCTTAGTAGTTCCATAATTCCTCTTCAGTGCTGTGCTTCCAGTGACCCGAAGACCTCAAACTAGGTCCCATCTCTTAATGGGGCCACTGTAGTGAGATATCCACCCCACCCACACCTGTAGCACTGATCATGCCTGTTTGGGAGTGGTCACAGGTGCAGACATGACAGAGCGTTGGACTAGATCTGGGGTCCCCGACCCCAGCGTGCTCTCTTGCTTCTGGTCGGGTCACAGAGAATAGCCTGGGTAGATCCTTGGAGCTGGAACCTGCGGTGGTCACCTGCCTCTTGTGTAAGTGCATTCTCCCCCAAATAAACTTCACTTAACCTGTACTGAGTCTAGTAAATCTTGATTCCCACGCAATAGGCTACCACTTCCAATTGTACCGCAGGCTTGGGACTATGCCTTTAGCCCATGGTTCTATGGGACATACATGTCCAGACCTAACATCTTGAAAAATGCAGGTGTTCCCACAAGCTAAAGTCTATTGGCTGACTGATTTCCAGTCATCTGTTACTTAGTCCCAGGTTCTGGAACGTGCTTTAAGCTTGGTCACAGAACTAAACAGAATGTATCTACAAGATTACCTCTTGGAAAAGCCGTACAGTCACTTCTGGTTAGCCTTATGAAACATCAGAACAAAGATAAGACCCCTATCCCTGTGACTTCATTTCTCTTTGAGCTCCCCTGACTCCATGGATAGAAAACTTACTGGGCCTTGTGGCACATACTTATAATCCCAGCATCTGGGAGGGTGAGTCAGAAGGAGTGCATGAGTTTGAGGGCTAGCCTAGGCTACATTGTTGAGAGAGGGGGGAGGAGGGGAGGGAGAGAGAAAGAGAGTTTTCGGTACTAATTGGAACATTCCTAGCATCTCCTCTGCAAGGTCTATGACCCATGTTCTTAGGCACCCACCCACATCATGACAGCTTGTCATTTAATTAGGAAGCAAACCCCACACACACTGCCTTCTCCTCTGGCTCCCTGTGAGCACTCAGCCAGCCACATCCACCCTCAGAATCCCTCACTTGCTCCTCTGGATCAACTACCCACAGCTAGCCAGTGCTGCTTTGTACTGGGGGATTAGCAACAGCCTCCTGAAAATGTTTAAATCGATTGGCAGAGCATCAGGTTTAATGAGCCTAGGGTCGGCTCAGACTGTAGGTTTTACAACCTGCAGCTTCTGGCCAAGTTAATTACCTCCCTCTGTGGGTTCCACATCAGCCAGGGCTTTAGACAAAAGAGGAGTTTCATCACATTTCTGGAACTCTGCATGACCATGGCAGGTATGTACCATGTGCCCGTAGACCAGGCTATGCTAAAGGAGAGACACCTACCAAAATTGGCGTAGCCACAGTGAAACTGTGAAAGAAAATGTTTTGTGACACCCCGTATGATAGAAAATAACCTGGGGAACTACTGTTGTCACCACACAAGAAGCTGCACAGAGTGAGTAGGGACATCACAGCTTTCTAGTCCTTCTTGAGCCCTGGCCATCCTCTTGCTAAGGGGCTGTCATCTGGTCACACTGTGGCCACTGAAGTGTGTATGTGGGGGGTCCTTAAATTACTCTTCCCACCAAACCTTGGCATTCCACTCAGCAAACACTCCTGAAGGGTGTGGTGTCCGTCATCTAGAACTCACACATGCTTAACTTTAATACAGAGACTGACAAGGTTTAATTGCAAACACCAAGAAAGGGCGCCTTGTTCAACCTGGGGAGCCTAGGGAGGTGGAATTTACCTGGTCTTGAATAGTAAGTAGAGGACCCCAGAGTAGCCTTGGGAGCCGGGGTTACAAGGGCTGAAAGGGCATGGTACAAGACTAATTAGGGAACTAAGCGAGTCAGGAGTTTCCTGGGGGTGTGAACAGTCAATAAAAGGAAAAATATTGGCTCAGGACCCCAAGACCAAGTTCTCAGCACAAAGGAGATTTATTTGCCCCAGAGGGACAGAAAGTAGGGATAAAGAACAAAGACAGAAGGTAGAGGGAGAAGGGAAAAGGGGACAGGTGTATTTGTCCCAGAGGCACAGAGGACTGCCTCGATAGAGAGGAGACAGCCATACATACAGGAAAATGGCAGTTTATAAAGGTACAAGGGGAAACTCCGTGTTAGGATGAGGTGTTCAATTTTAATTGGCATGTTAATTAGGTGAGCCAAAGGGGGCTTTTGATTGATGGATTTCAGTACTTTTGATAGCTGGATTTCAATATTTTGATAGCTGCTGGTCAGCCTCAGGAGGAAGTGGCCAAAAAAGGGAATAGCTTTAGGAATGTAATCTAATGGTTTTTAGCAAGGCAGAGGGAGTTGGGGAGAAAGACAAGGCCTGCCAGAGACGCATGGGCTAATGTCCCTTCCGTGAGTGGTCTGTGTCGCCTGGGTTGTTTCTTAATTCAGACCAAGATTTGGGAGCTAATCACAGGGAGAGAGTTGGTAGAGTGCATTCCGAGCATTCACAAGCCCTTCGTAAGACCCCTAGGACCAGAAGAAAAAAATACTTGTCATGAAGATCGAGGACCTGGGTTCAGAATCCGGAACCCATCTAAAGCCAGGTGGTCTAGCTTGCATCTGTAATCCCAGTGTTTCTATCGTGACATGTGAGGCGGACACAGGAGGGCCGCTGGGAGTTAGTACATGAAGTGGTGAACAAGAGACTGCCTCCAAGAGAGACGGTGAGGGCAGACACCGAGGTTATGCTCTGATCTCCATATGTGCGAGGTGGTGCGAGCGTGCGCACGCGCACCCCCCCCCTGCACACACACCTGTATCTCACACATATATGCTCTCTGTCTCTCATACATGGAGAGAAAGGGAGCTTTTAAAACAAGAGAATCTGGATTCTCCGAACACCCAGCTTAAAAATATAGGACACGTGTGGTGTCAGATGTGGTGGCGCACACCTTTGATGCCAGCACTCAGGAGGAGGCAGAGGAAGGCTGATCTCTGTGAGTTGGAGGTCAGCCTGATCAGTGTACTGAGTTCCCAAGCCAGGCAGCACTACATAAGTGAATCCTTGTTTCTAAAAATCAAATTAAATTAAAAAAATAAATAAGAGTGCATGGTCCCCCGGGTGAAGGGGAAAGGGGCAAGAGCTCCTGAACAAATTGGGAGCGTGGGGGCAGGAGGGAGGTAGGAGAAGCAGGAGGGGAGAAGAGGAGGGGGGAGGAGAACATGAGGGATCAGGAAGATTGAGTGTGGAGAGGAATAGAGGAGAGCAAGAAAAGAGACACATCAACAGAGGGAACCACCATAGGTTTAAAGAGAAATCTGGCACTAGGGAATTGCACAAAGATCCATAGGGATGACCCCAACTAGGAACCTAAGCAGTAGTACAGAGGCTATCTTAAATGCCGTTCCTCTATAAAGAGATTGATGACTACCTTAAATGACATCCTAGAGCCTTCATCCAGTAGCTGATGGAAGCAGAAGCAGAGATCCACAGCTAAGCACTGAGCAAAACTCCTGGCATCCAGTTGTAGAGAGGGAGAGTGACCCCGCTGGGAAAACCCACAGAAACAGCTGACCTGAGCAGGTGGGAACTCATGGACCCCAGTCTGACAGCTAGGGAACCAACATAGGGCCAAACCAGGTCCTCTGAACATGGGTGTCAGCTAGGAGGCTATGGGGTCTCTGGCAGTGGAACCAGGATGTATCCCTAGTGCACGAACGGACTTCGGGGGCCCATTCCTGATGGAGGGATACTCTCTTAGCTTAGATACACAGGGGAGAGCCTAGATCCTGCCCCAAATGACTTGACAATTTTGATGATCCCTCATGGAAGACCTCGACCTCCCTGGGGAGTGGATGAAGGATGGGAGGAGTTGGGGGGGGACGGACATGGGAGGATGGGAGGGAGAGGAAACTGGGATTGATATATAAAATGTTTCTAATTTAAATAAAATAAAAAATAAATAATGCTGTATTGGTCAGGCAGTGGTGGTGCAAGCCTTTAAACCCAGAATTTGTGAGGCAGAGACAGGTGAATCTCTATGAGTTCGAGGCCAGCCTGGTCTACTGAATTCCAGGACAGCCTCGCCAATGATACAGAGAAACCCTGTCTTGAAAAACCAAATATATATGTAAATTTTTATAAAATGCTGTATCTAAGAACCACTGTGGGTGTTGAAAGAATGGCTTAGACAGAAAGATGGACAGCTACTGTTGATGGAATAAACAGGATGTAAGGTCACACAATGGCCAGTTCGAATCCTAAGGATTTCCATTTGATATGAAGTTGCCATGTAATTCAAGAAAGAGGGTCAGTAACAGGCTAAGGACTGCTTGAGTATTCTAGATTTACCAAGAGCAGCAACAGCACGCGCACACACACACACACACACACACACACACACACACACACACACACACCAGCCCAGCCTTCCATCTGCATTCTTTGGGATTTCCCACCTTGTGGTTCTGTTTCATCAGATGGTGATTAATCAGTACAATGTCTGCTAAAAGTAACCCCCTAAGAGTCACTCTTGCGTTTTCTTCACTGACCAGGGGCCTTGGGTTACTTCTGCAGAGCAGAGAGCACAACTCCAGGAGCTTCTGAATCCACCACACTTATATGGAAGTGGTGGATTAAAACCCAGAGGTGGGTGTCCATCCTGTCTGGTCAACACAAAGCAAAATGTCTATCTGCAATGGAGGAGCCAGTGGTGAGAGTGCTGGCCGTTCTTGCATAGGACCGGGGTTCAGATCCCAGCACCCACATGGTGACCCACTCCCAAGGGATCCCACAGTCTCTTCTGACTTCCACAACACTTCTTGACACTGGGCTCTCCCTCCCATGAGCTTTACCATTTCTGTGATGAGCTAACTCAAAGTGCACCAACACTTCTAAGCTTGGAGGGAAAAGAATGAGAAGTCCACACAAAACAAACACTCTCCGAATTATTAAAAAGGCATTTTATTATAAATACATTTTAGTTGTAGCAGTAAAATACATTTTGTGTTACCATGAATCTTTTAAAACAAAAAAACTTCACTGACAATGATCACACTGTAGACTCCCGGACTCAAAACATGTCCTAAGGAAGTAGCATGAGCTAAGGGGACCCCAAAAACCAAGTTAGGAAGAACGAAGAAAGGAGAAAAGAAAAGCCTTGGAGGGTAGCTCTGGGGTTATCTTATGATACAAAATCATCTTTACTTTGAAGAATAAACTCTTTAGGTATTAGGGCCTCCCAGATGAGGTATGATACACTGCAAAGGGACACGGTCCATTGTTATTACTTTTGCCATAAATGATGCTTAATTGGATGCTGCCTAAGTGGTGCTTGTAAGATAAACGGATCAGGGTGGTTTTATATATGGCCTTCCTTATGAAGGCTTTTCCAATAGAAGACCCACAGTAAGTCTACTTGGCTGATCCTATCCATCACTGACCACATTTAGAGAATTTTATCTTTTAAAACACTAAAAAGAAAGAGCCTGTGTCACCAACGATTAGGACTCTACTATAATGCAAACCCCATTAGCTTTATAATTTAGAGAAAGTATTTGAACAACTCTATTCCCCTGCAATGCAACTATTATATATAACCAGTACCTTTATGTGTTTCAAAGCATCAGGTCAGATGGCTGGCACATAAACCAGATACAGTACTTGATGTACATAATGTCATATACACGGATTTATAGGAGCAGGTGTGGTCCTGGTACATGAAAATCCAGGACGCTTCATGTGACTGTGTGGGAAGCGGTGTTGCTGAGAAACAGTCTCAGGTATAACTGACACTTTGGAACTTTAACCTGGACAAAAGAGTCCTCTGACCTCCTGAAAGATACAAAGTGGTATCATGCAAGGCAAATCGTAAATAAACCAAAGTCCCTTATAAGCTTGGAGTGCATAGAGGAAGCCGTGCCGGGCACAGCAGCAATCCACAGCTAAAGCTTATGGGGCCTTTCATGTAGTAAGTACTGGGGGCTAAGAATTCTAAAACTGTGCATTCTAGGATGGCCACTGTGGATTATACTTCTACGCCTATGCCATTCTACATTCTATTACCTTAAACACAGATTGGTTTTCTTGCTAGTAGCAGTAAATTCAAAGTCAAACTAAAATTGAGAAGCAGAGCCCAATACCGGCAGAGCTGCAGCCCAGGCTGAACATTAAACACAACACACAAATGTAAAACTATCCAAAGGCCTGTCAGGTGTATTATGTTGTAGGCAGTTTGTTACTCAAAACTAACTTGCTCATCTGTGTCTGCTATGACTTAGGAGTCACTCATGCTGTGGAGGTGGTGTGTCCCCCTCAACTCTTCGGCAAACATACAGAGTTCTTCAAGGTAGTAAGGGAATCACAAACAATTGCTTCTTTTCTGCCACATACAACACTCATGCTCTCCCTAACACCTGCTGGCATGGCAGAGACCCCAAAATAACTTTGTTAACCTGAGAAATATACAATATGAAAGTAAATTCTTTGCCCTCACCCACAACACACATACAAAAGAAGAAGAAGATTAAAAGCTATAGACTCCATTATTTGGGGACCATCCAATGTTTCTGATGCTCCATGTCACTGCCACTCTAGGACAGGGACTCCTGCACTAAGAGCCTCAGTAAGTGCAAATGCACTCTTTGAGGAATCCAATGGCTTCTTTCCACAATTCTGTCTCCAAGTGTAGGGACCAAGGTTGACTCCAAGCACATCCCACAAATGCACAGCTTCCAGACAACAGTCAGGCAGCTGTGTCCCTAACCACAAACACCCTAGAAATGAAAGCGCCCCTGCACCCCAATGAGGAGAAGCAGCAGAGACCCCAAAGGTAGAGAGAGCTTTTTTTTTTTCCATGAATGGGCCACTTCTCGTGTCAGAGTGATTAAAATGACCCAAGAGTAAAGAGATGAAAAACCCTCTGACTTTCTCTAGACCAGTGGTCTTCAAAGTGCACGCCCTGGACAGCTGTGGTGGCCACCCTGGGGGTGGGTACAGCAACCTGTCCTTCAACAACCTGCCCAGGGAAGGAAGGCTGAGGCTGGGCTTCAGTTTCACAATAACTTTTTTTCTTTTTTCTTTCTTTCTTTCTTTTTGCTTGATCTTGCTCAGAATTCTAAAATCTTAAAATACGATAGATTTGTAAATAGCTATCACTGTATGTAATTTGCCACCCTTTCCACCTTCACTTTCAAACATAAAAATATTAAAACAATTATTCCATAAAAATCAAAAATTTCTTAAAAGGTAATATTGATTTCCCCTCCCATACTCATCCTAAGGCAGGCAACCACATGCTAGTGTGCTAAATAAAGTACAGAAGAGACCTCAGATGAGGTAGAAATAGCCAAAAAGACCCCCAAAAACATACTGAAAATCTCATAACATTGTTTAATGAACTTATAGAATTATATAAAACTTACTATGCTTTATGTTTAATATTTGTATCAAAATAAAATCTCTCTGTTGAACAAATTGCAAGTAAAATCTGGCCTACCACTCTGATGACTGAAACTACAAGACACACGGGCTTTCTCTTCAAACTCATTTCAGAAAACCTCAGGCTACCACTGTATAAATGGGCTGGGATTTAACCGCGGCTTACAAGCCTAAGTCTAGATTCTATTAGGAACCTCCCTTACAAAACACTTTTTTTACAATGAGGGTTTCTTTAAAGATCACTCTAAAGTAAGTACTTTCAGTAGGTTCAGATATCTGAATGTTACACTAAAACTTAAAAAAAAAAAACCCAATAACTGTTTAACCTGATATTCTAGCTTAGAGGTGACGACATGCTGCCATTTTCTGGTATCTCATTAGAATGTTAAGCCCTGGTAAAAATCCCCTCCTTCCAGGGGATTTTTGAGATCGCTAATTAAACAGGGATGAAACTGGCAAGTGTGAACTTAGCAGCCTCATTTGTCTCAGAGGGAGAGGTGAAGATGCCTGCTGTATGCAGTGAGTGCTCTGGCAACTGGGTACATGATGTGGGGGACACTCTAAGTGATATTCTGAAGAAGGGCAAGTTAAAGCATCACTCATGTTTCTTCTCATCGCTGGGAGGTTTGAATATCGACAGATGACAAGTCAGATCTACCAAGACATTTGCACCCAGAAGCAAGAGGACACGCGGGGGATGGCAGAGGCAGGGCTTTCATATGCTGAGGGGTAGGTGCTGAAAAACGTCTACTTGATAAGAAAAGACAAGTTTAACTTTGAGGAAGTAGAGAGGGGAAGGATGAACAGCCTAAATAATGTATATGCTTTACTATATGGGAAATTTTAATCATGTATTTTTATAGAATTTTTCTATTAGCAAAACTCCCCACTATGCAAAGATTCTTTCATTGGGCATGTCCTAAAAATCAACTATTTTTGGAAATCTAACTTTTTCCATGACAATAGTTGAAATACTCAGATTTAACCTATAATTTTCACACCCTGACTAGAGATACATTCTTTTATGTTTTCAGTTCTGCTCTCAAAATGAAACATATCAAACAGAGTCATCAACTACACTAGGACAACACAACACAACATACAAACTCAAAGTTAAAAAGACGGTTAGCATCCCTAAGACTGCAATGCCTTCAGAAACAAGGAAACCTCGGCCATAAATAGGCTTTAGAGGCTGCTCTGTTTAATTGGGTAATGCTTATTCCACAAGACTCCTGCTGATTTTACTTACCCTGAAGTTCTCTGAACAGAAGAGATCAGTTGATGCTTAGACCAAGCCTGAACTCGTTTTACAATCTTGATTAGAATGAAACAAAAGAAAAAAAAAATAGCCCACATCAGATAGTTGGGTGTTTTCTTTACATAAGATGACCCACACAGAAAGCATGTCTGTGTGAAGACAGGAAGACTGAGGTCATTAGTTTGAATGGTCAAGGACAAAACATTATGATTAGCAATGGCAGAGCTAGAATGGGCTTTTTTGAAAAACACACCAGGAAATATCCATGGTACAGTGAATGAGGCTGTTCAAATTTCAACAAGAATTCATTCTCAGATCAAGAGGGAATGGGGAACCAAACTTAGCATGAATACTCTATAAATTAAGATGAAGGAAGGGAGAGGGAAAAGAAATATCTCAAGTTGCAGTGAAATGACTAGAAACAGTACTAGCAAGGACAAGGAAATTCCACTGATAAAAAGAAGAAAGAAATGAAAGAAAGAATAAAACAGCCTCAGAAGAAATCTACCCAGAAGAAAATGGCATCACAGAGCATCAAGTTCACAAAAGAAAAGGGCATCAAGTTCACAGAGCTATCAAGTTTTCTTTAAAAAAAATGTGCTTATGTATGTAAACGAACACATAAATACACACACACACACAAGCACGCACGCACACATGTATGTATGTATGTTCCATCTGAGCTCTAAAAAGTTGCAACTAATGAATGAAATAAGGTATTTTCATGACACTGACTAACCCTGCTAATACTACCCGAGTAACAGCAAAGAGCAGCAGTGAGAACTCACAGTGGTCCTTCTGGTAAGACCTGCTGAAGACTGGTACAAGATGCTGGGCGTAAGTAACAGACTCCTTCGAGCCTGGACGGGAAGACAGGAGTAACGCTGGGAAGGAGGGAACCAGGTTCAAATAAACACTGTATGAAAAACATGAAGGCGCGGACACAAGAGAAATGGGAATACTCAGACATAATAGAGCAGTCACCTGTGAGTAGCTAGTGTCTGTAGCCTGATGGATTCCTCATCCAGGATGTCCCACCATCAGTGTTTTTATGTAAAATGATAGGACACAGCACATGTGACTTTAACTAAATATAAATAATTTAAAAACTGACATTTTTTAAAGGTTCAAGTATGAGAAACAGGAAACTAGGCAATAATCTGCTGATGAGAAGTGGACCAAAAATTGACAGTATAGTCCTGTCTGAATTAGCAAAATGGCTCTGAGCACTTGCCCAGCATGTGATGCTGTCCTGTGTGTCTGTATGTGTAGGGGCGGGGCTGTCACTGATGGGACACACAGTCTCATCATGGGGGAGTCCTACATCTTGTTTGGGCACAGAGTTAGAAATGCACAAAGCCCTGGGGGCAAAAGTTGTCTTGTTCAGCCTAAAACACGCCCAGCAGTATGTGGTGATGTCACATCAAGCAGAGTGTGGTGCCCTGGTTCACTAGATCCACTTTCCATCTGTGATCTGCACTGTGTAGTAACACATCTCCAGTCTGTGGGTCCACATCTGCAACCTCAAAAGAGGTGTTCAGCCTGAGACAGGAAGTCAGGTACCGATTGCTCAACCCTGAGCACAAAGGCGGAACTGAATTAAGAGAGGCTGCAACATTGGTCCTGGAGTTGGCTACCCCTTAACCAGCCCAACCTTCCATCCTGCATTATCCGGGGGTTACAGGAAGCCATAGATGGTTGCCATAAACTAACCCGTAGTCACAGATACAAGTAATTCTGCCTTCCCCTTGTCACTGTCAGCCCAGTTTTAAATGTTCTATCAAAACAGTCTTCCAGAAAACTATGCTTGCATGATCATCAGGGAGGCTGGGCTCTTCTGAAATATCCCCTGGCCTCATCTTAATCTAAAAAGAAAAAAAACAAAAAGATATATTGTAGTCTCAAGGTACCTCTGAAATATAAAATCATAGCTACTGGATCAGGAAACACCAAGGACATTCATTACTTCAAATGTGCTAAAGAACGCACGAGAAGCATAGCTTCGTCTTTCAAAACAACCGTCAGGCTGCGGACTACTGCAGACAGCTGCTGAAATGTCATATGCTTAATGAGTTCAAGGGGGAATTTCACAAGAATCAAAAGATACGAAACGTGCCCCAGATTTGATGGACTTTTGGACATTGTTTTCTTTTTTAATGATCTTTCTCAAACAGAACAACTAGAAAAATCTTAGAATTGCCATGTGTAATGTCATCTCTTAATGTAAACATCAAATAAGGTACCAAAATTTTCACTGGAGGAAAAGAAACCTAAACTTTTAGTCAGCTCAGTTCTTGCTGCCCTGGAGGAGGGGTCAGGCTACAAACACTTACACATGCAGAATGAGAAAGAAGATTTTTTTTCACTAAATTCACGCAGTTTTAAAATAGTTATCAAGTCTACTAAGCACCAACAATCCTAAAAATTTTTCAGCTTCATGATTTGTTTAAAAAAAAACCACACACTATCAAATTAACATTAAAAACAAGCTGAAAGTGTTGCTTCTCAAAAAACAAAACTAACTATGCCACTGGGTTTTGCTGTTGTTTTCTTTTTTCTTTTTCACATTTCAAAACCCAGTGGCACACGGAGCACATGAGCAAGGAGGGCCGTGACCTCTCCCCTGCTGATGGAGAGAACAGCATGTCACGGAGCCACAGAGAGGCTGGGACTCTCAAAGTTTCAGAACACAGCATCCTGTCACCTCTCAAAGTTTCAGAACACAGCATCCTGTCACAAAAAAAAAAAAGCTGATAAAGTATTTAGAAGATGCTGCCCCTTTATTTAAAAAAATTTAAATGAATTTAAGCAAAAATAACATACATTTGTACATCAACTGGCCATTTCTGGTACAGAAACCCAGCATGTGGTAATATTATTGAATAAATGTAAATGCTACTTAACTTTTTTTTTCCTTTTTAAATACATTTTAGACAAACTTTTTTCTTTTTTTTATAGTTGCACAATTAACCTCTTAGCTGCTAGCTTGATGCAAACATATGTAACAATACACAAATTTAAAAATATTTTTATTCTACATAAAAGCTGTCAAAGTTCTGACTCACATCAAAAATGCAAAATAATGGAATATACTTTTAAACTTAGGCGCAGGTCTAGCAGCAAGGGAACTGAGTGAGAGAGCGGTCAACATTTCGCAGAGGCTGCACACAGAGGAGCCTGCCACCACAACCCTACTGATAAACAGGAACTCAACACTCCAAGAGCCGGTCACTTGAAGTAGGAGTAGAAGCCGTTGCTGCCCGGGCTGCTGCCCAGGCTGAGCTCCTGGAAGAGGGACAGCGGGTCGCTGCCCTTCTTGGCCTGCTCGGGTGGCGGTCTGGGCTTGGGCGGGGCCCGCAGCGCACTGGCATAGGACATAGTGGGCTTGCTCCCTGCCGGGCTCTGCTGGCTGCTGCTGTTGGCCGACTCTGCGATTTGCTTGTTGGGCATGAGGGGTGGGAACTGGCCGAGGTGCTGCAGCACCGTGTAGTTGAAGGAACTGGACACCTCCGAGCTGTCGGGCTTCAGCTGATCCTCAGCAGGCTTGACAGTCTTGGGTGGTGCTGGGAACAGAGAACAGTGACAGGGTTTAACCAGAGGAGTAGGGGTGCGCCTGTGCACGGGCTCCTCCATCTCCGAGAACACAGGGGCAGTTTGGCCTAAGCATACAATAACGTGGCTCACAGGATGTGAAACCACACTTTAAGCCCCTGTCCTGAAGAATCACCCAGAAAGAGCACCCATGCCCACTGGAGCAGCAAATATACAGAAACCAATGTCAACGGGGGCTGGAAGGTGTTGCTGACTTATCTGCCTGGGTGGCTGGGCTACTGTGAACCAGAATATGTCTATATCAGCAGAGATGCACTGTGCACGCTCCTTAAGCCTGGTCCAGTGGCTGTAGGGAAAAGGGGCCAGCCAAAGAAACACATCTTGAGCAGAGCCAAAGAAACACACTTTGGTCCTGCAACCAGAACCAAAGAAATGTACCCTGACCCTGAAACCAGTGCCAAAGAAACATACTTTGTCCCTGGAATCAGAGCCAGTGAAAGAAATACACCCTGACCCTAAAACTAGAGTCAAAAGGCTACAAAGGACCAGTGAAAGAAACACACTTTGGTCCTGAAACCAGAGCCAAATCTGACCCTAACCCTTTGCAGGAAACTAACCAATCCTTGAGCAGGAGCTCTAGCCAATCTGAGCTCAGCATTGAAATCTGACCAATCCCCACCCTGGAAGCTTGTGGCTGTTTGTACTCTCCTGGATTCTTCCCTCCCAATAAACCCCTTTGATGAGCTTCTGGTGAAGACCTTCTTTAGCGGAGCAGAGATGACTCTGGGCAGAGCAGAGAGAGTGGGCCTGTAACACTTTTGCCAGGGAAACCTTCCCCTGGCAGAGAGGAGCTGTTACATTCCACTCTCCCGGAAACAAAGCTGAACTATAGCAACTTCGCCAGGGAAACCTTCTCCTGCAAGAGCAAAGCTGCTATACTGGGCAAACATCCCCAGCTGGAAGACCCTCTGGAGCAGAGCCGATACATTGGGGAAGCCTTTCCCTGAGACAGAACTGTAAGCTGCTATGCTGTGGTTTGTGGTAGTCCTTGGCTCCCGAGCTCCAGGATACTTTCCTGTCTGAGCTGCATAACACTTAGTATTCTGTGACTCTCGAGTGCCAGAATAGCTGTCCCACCTGATCTGTCAAAATGCCTACAGTGGCACCAGGGTCCAGCTATTATAGTCATTCCCATTTCTTGTGATACACATTTACATTGAAATGTTTTAGTTATTTCAAACAAGTTCTCAGTATGTAGCTCAGAGTGGTTTTGAACTCTTGATCTTCCTTCTTGGTCTGCTTGGTGCTGGGGGTCCAGGTTTGCACCAACACACCTAGCTCACATTCGGAGTGAACATGGAATAATGGGAGGGGAGAAACATCACATTTCCACTACCTGACTTTCAAAGTCTTTAAAACTTGGTCCCAGTATTCCTAAACAATATTATTGTCCATCACCACAGAGCTTTGTTTCAGATCTTTTAAAATTTAAATAACACTGTACTGTGTGTGAGAGAGAAAGAGGGAGGAGGAAGGGAGGGAGAGAGAGAAACAAGAGAGAGAGAGAGAGAGAGAGAGAGAGAGAGAGAGAGAGAGAGAGAGAGAGAGAGAGAGAGAGAAACTCATGTACTCTTGCAAGTACACGATGGCTTTTGAGCAAAGTATTGTGGGAAGGACTGACAGGAAACAGCCCATAAATACCCAGGCGCTGAGGAGTTGAAATCATGGCTTTCTGGAAACTCACCCATTCACCTTACCTATCAACTCTCTGGGCTGAGCTGTCCTGCTGGGTCCATTGCACGGAATGTTCTGGTAGGGGGCAGGAGAGGTGGTGCTGGCCCAGGACTCAGGGGCTGGGAAGCTGAAAGCAGGCTGGCGGCTGTGGTCCTGCTGTTCTTTGCCCTGAGGCAGGCTGCCTTGGGGAGTGCTTGCCTCTTCCACACAAGGCTGGGCTGAGCTAGATGAAATTCTTCTTTGGTACAAGGGCCGACCAGGTCCTCTGGGCTCATACTACACAAAGAAAAGTGTGTGGTGAGTACAGCCGCCTCCATACCTACAGTGACCTCCCCTCACAAACAGGGACCAATTGGCAAGGAAATTCTCTGCTGCGGTGTAGGGCTCGCTCCTCTTCACCTTCTCCCATTTAAAATGCAGCAGGTACTCCAACATGGTGTCAGGAGACCTGAGTCTGAAACTCATCTTGGATTGTCCCTCCCTATGCTGTCCTGTGGCTCCTGTACCCTGTTGTCTTCAGTTACAAAGTCATACTGCTATTTCAGAGAACAGCAGAGCTGGTGTATGAGGTGGAGTCCCAAGTCAGCTGACTCACAGAGCTGACCAGAGCCGCTGAGACTGGTCTCGTGGACCGTCCCAGCTTCAGCTGTTCTGCTCAGCTCTGCCAGCAAGATCCACCTCCTCCAGCATAAAAGCATTCTTACTGGGCTTCACTGTGTGTCTCCCACTTAGTCAGCTGATACAGAACACCCATTACTTTCTCCACAGAGCAACCTGGCCAGCAGGCCAGACTTCAGGCCTTGCCTCAGCCCTGGGCAACTGGCCTAACCTGGGAACTACATCTCCATAATAGATTACCTCCAACTTCCTCTTGGATTTGTAGAGGGCACTCAATAAGCTAGGGATGAATGTAGGATGCCCAGGTTGGTTCCTGGTGCATGTCTGAAGAGTCACCTGTTCTGTCATTGCTTTATGGTAAGAGACCTACATCTGATCACAAATGACACAATGGCTTTTAGTCATCCACCTTTTCTCCCAAATAACAGCAGAATCTGCTATTCAGCTTGAGTTCGATTGCAATTCAGACAAATCTTTCATCACCATTGCAAGTGTGTGTTAGACTAAAAAGGGAGGCGCTGACCAGCACAGTGCTAGCACGATGGCTTGGGGGTTGCAAGAGAGCCGTGGTGAGCATCATCAGGCCAGGACAAGGAGTAGCTGGGTGTAAGCATCAGTTTAAAGCCCCAGGCTAAACCCACTAGGACAGAAATCAGAAAAGGGCACTACATGGGCAGGAGAGGGTGGAGCAGAGCAGTGAGGCCAGACCACACCTGTACCCACTCCCTTTCCCACGTGTATTTTATTTACATCCTGTTACTCACTGGGACATTTGCATTCACCTTTAATTATATTCTTTAGAGAGAAAAATCTCCAATGGTCAAAACCATTCTGAGTTTGACTGTGGCTTGAGACTGTGGCTTTGGGTCAACTGTAAATTCAAGCAGCACATTTGAAGCTGGTCTCAGCTCTCAAAAGTGATTAGCAGAAAGCCAACCCTACGGAAGTGTTTGTTCTCCAGGCCAGACAACCCTTGAGTGACTGATCAGATGGTTTCCACAGTCATTTTTGTAACAGAGACAATTAGCTCTTGAAATGAAGATGGAGTGTTTTTTAATTGTCATACTGGGAGTTCTGCCCTGTTGCTGTCTGTAGGGGATTGCACTCAACGCTAATGCATTAATATTAGCCAGGGCCTCAAAAGGAGCAGATTGTAAGAGCCTTCATGACACAACCATCCGGACTTCAACCAGTTACCTCATAAACCCTGTCTTTAACAGGCACCTACAACAGTAGTATAGGCAATGGGTAGACACAGGAACCTTGGAGAATCAATGAGGGAAAAGGGAAATCAGAAAGTTACATAAATATAATGAAAGAAAAAAATACAAGGTCTACAGGTACAGCTATTGTATACATGAAGGTGAACTTGTGGAAAGCCATCTTCATTGCATTTGTTCCTCAAAGGTGAGGTGGCTATGAGCAAAGCAACAGACAGCAAATGAAAATGGCTTACACACCAAATGAGGTTAAGGCCACTTTAGTCTTTCTGTCTCAAGTCTGAACCTTTATTTACTTTAACGCACTGACTGCAACCTCCAACAAGCACTCCATCCTGCTACCTTTTTCCTTTTCTCTTTCCTTTCCTTCTTTCTTTCCCTCTCTAATCCCCTTCCTCCCTCCCTCCCTTCTTTTCATGGCTCATCACCACCCCCTCCCCATCTTTCTTTCAGAGACAAGTCTCACCACCTAGCCCATGCCTGCCTTGACCACCTGGGCTCAAGTGATCCTCAGTGTGCCAGCAGCTGGGACTGAGGGTGCACCACTGTGGCTTAATCCTCCTAACCTCTAATGCTGTCTTCCCATCAACCATGATGGTGGTTGTGAGATGGTTACAGCCTTTCAGCAGCTGCAAGTTTCTTTCTACTTTGTGTGACTGTGTGTGGGTTGGGGGTAAGGAGGATGGTGGGCTGTTTTGTTTTCAGAAGCAGAGATAGTTATTGATATAATCATGTGATCTTTTCCCAGACTGTTAACATGGTAGGTTATACACTGATTTACTTTCAAATACTGCACCAGCCAGATAAGCTGCATGGTGTCATGGTGTATATGTTCTCTTCATGCCTGGCTGAATTCAATTTGCTGTTCTGTTGAGAAGAGCTACATTCTTGCCATAAAAATCAGCCTATAGTTTTCTTTTTTGTACTGTCTCTCTGTCTTGCTTTGGAAATAAATTGACAAGTTTTCCCTTCCGTTCTCTGGCAATGATTATGATTGGTAAATTTTCTTCTTTACATATTTGGAGAAATTCTGTAGTGAAACAACTCTGGCCCAAGAGAGTTATCTCTTGAAGTGCTTGACCATACATTCCAGTCTTTAACAGCTATATGATCATTCCTATGACATTTACTTCATTGTTGGTGAGTTTTTGAATGTTTGTGGACTTCAGGGATGTGGCCTACCTCACCTAAGTTCTTGAAAACTGCTTGCAACCTTCCTATTATTATCCTTTCAAAGATACCTAGTCTTAGTGACATAGTTCCTTTTGTTCCTTGTATCAGTAGTCAATGTCTTCTCTTTTTTCTTCTTGTCAATCTTTTCTGGGGATGGGTAGGGAGGCTAATACTATCTTAACACAGACTGAAGTATGAGGATTGGGGGGGCACTTGGCAGAATAAATGCAACTGAGGGCACGGATCTCAGCCTGTTTTACAATGAGAGGAAACAGCTCAGACTTTGTGCCTGCCCTTCCTAAAGCAGGACACCTACTGTCTTTAGCCTAGGAAGTCCACGACTGGCAATTAGCATGAAAGACCCCTTTCCCTTTGTGTCCTCATAATTTTCCCTATCCTTCTACCCTACTTCAATTCTCCCTGAGACTCTGATCCTCCATCTTAAGGGTTGCAGAAGGCTAAAAATTCATTTTCTATAATCCGACATCTATGACCCAACCTACTCAAGGACCTACCTACTCAAGGACACTACCTACTCAAGGAGCCTACCTACTCAAGGACCTACCTACTCAAGGACACTACCTACTCAAAGACCTACCTACTCAAGGATACTACCTACTCAAGGACACTACCTACTCAAGGACCTACTCAAGAAGCCTACCTACTCAAGGACCTACCTACTCAAGGACACTACCTACTCAAGGACACTATCTACTCAAGGACATTACATACTCAAGGACACTACATACCCAAGGACCCTACCTACTCAAGGACCTACTCAAGGTCACTACCTACTCAAGGAACTTACCTATTCAAGGACCTACTTACTCAAAATCTTACCTACTCTAGGACCTACCTATTCAACAACCTACTCAAGGACCTACCTACTCAAGACCCTACCTCTTAACCTGTCTGTATTAGGGCAGACATGAGACAATGGGAGTGTGAGCACATCATTTCAAGTGATTCAACAATGTATCTGGGGGATTCCAGACAAGAACTCAGGGAACCAGCATTTGGGAGATGAGGCACAGCATCCCACTGTGACCCTCAGCTGCCTCAGAGCCTTCAATTCATGGATTCATGGGATTCAAAGCAAAAAAAAGAGTTCCAGCACTACCCAGTGGTATACATGAGGTATACAGATTTAGCATGAAGGGTGAGATAGAGCAGCATTCCGAAGAAAGTTAGACTCTTGCTAGTCTCACTAAATGCTATCTACTTTCCCTCTACAAAGAACCAACTGCAGGCTTCATGAACTCTTCCCTATTGTTTTCTGTAGTCAGCCACACTGAAATCGGTCTTCGTCATTCTCATTTCCTGGAGTTTATCTTTTTCTTCCTTTAGAATGTCTTAAGGTAGAGACTTGGATTTCTTATCAGAGATCTTCTTTCTTTTCTACTTTAAGTACTATACATCCCCTCTGATGTTGCTGTGGCAGCAACACATGAATTCAGACACTGTATTCTTACTTTCTTTCACACAATAAGCCCCTGATCTGCATTATACACAGACATCTGGAAAACAGGAACCAGAATGGGATTTTTAAAAGATTAGCATCCAGATACAGAATAAGATATCAAAAAGTATAACTACAATGTGCTGAAAATTCAAATACCTAACAATGCTTGATTCAGAATGATATTCAAAGTGAAAACAGGAAGAAAAAGGCCTCTACACCATCCTTGAATCCTGCTAACACACTGATTTATTACCCTAAAAATGAATAAAGGAAATAAATTAAGCATTTATCTTCCTTTTCCAGATAGATTATATTTTAATATCTAGTATTCAATGATGAAAATCATCCTTCATATAAGAAAACTACATCAGAAATTTAAAAATTGTTTTAATTATTATTTGTCATCCTAATGAAACAAAAGACTAAAAGGAACAGCTGCTAAGGCCCGGAAAGTTGTTGGAATACAATCGACAGGTCAATCTGATACCAACCCTCACCTCAGCAGTCAAGTTACCATCACCTAAGTGGGGAAAACAAACACTGCCTGTGTCTTCTTCCATATACATACGAATATACACTTTCACTGAGAACAAAACCCTATTACAATCTGCTTGGTAATTTCTCGTTAGCATGTCACAGAGAAAGGCTGAAGAAATGACTCAGGGGTTAAGAGCATTTACTGCTCTTGCAAAGGACTGATACCCACATGAGAGCTGACAATTATGTGTCATATGGCTGCAAGGGATCTGGCAGCCTCTTTGGGCCTCTGTGGACACCAGACATGCAACTTAAAAACATGTAAG